TGCAATTTGAAATTGAATATTGGCAAACTTTTCTTCAAACAGTGTTTAAAGCAGTTCGAAGTAAATCGAAGTAATCTAAGAAAAACCCTACGAGTAAATTTTTTTTTCTTCATCACCATCGTGTAGAGCATCTTTTTAGTAGTAAGAATCCAAATTTTTAAAATAATATACCGAGTAGTTTTCAAGATATGATTTTTTGAAGTTAAGGTTTGCTATTCAGGTATTGCGCCATATAGGAGAAATGCATGTTAATCTTACTTAAAATTGCATTTTTCTTTGTTTTTAGACTCTTCTTTTGCTTAAAAATGGTCAATTGCACCTTCTTTGTTCTAATTAGAATAAACAAAAAACTGTTTCTTTACTTAAAACAAACAAAGAGTACCTGCGTACTAATAAAAGCAAATAAAGAGGTTTTTTGTTCTAAAAATGATTACTGATCATTGAGTAAAAAGGATCTAGAAGTTTAAAACAGTAGCTTTAAATATAAGAACAAATCGTTTTCAAATTAAATGACTTTCCATTCAGATTCCAACCTGTTCACTTTATTCTAGCTTTTTGAACTTTTTTTTGAAAATGTTCTCAGCAAATGCTTTTTCATCAGTTTCTATTGATGTTGAATGCAATAAGTCAGTTGCTTCGTGTGCAACTGTTATCACAACAACTACTATCTACAAGCTAACTGAAGCTAATCGTAGAATGTACCAACAAAATAAATCAGGTGACTTATTGCATTTAACATCACTCGAAAGTGATGAGAAAGCATTTGCTCATAACATTTTTAAAAAAAGTTCAGAAAGCTAGTACAAAAAGAACAAGTCGAAATCTGAATAGAAAGTGATTTGATTTGAAAAATATTTGCCTTTATATTTAAAGCTCGTGCCTTAAACTTCTAGATTCTCTTTGCACAATGATCAGAGGTCATTTTTACAACAAAAAAACTCTTTACTTGCTTTAATTAGTCCGCATGTACTCTTTATTTGTTTTAAGTGAACAAACAGTTTTTGTTTATTGTAATTAGAACAAAGAGGTGCAATTGACCATTTTTAAGCAAAAGAAGAGTCTTAAAACAAATACTTTTATTAAAATGCAATTTTAAGTAAGATTAACATGCATTTCTTCTATATGGAGCAATGCTTGATTAGCAAACCATAACTTCAAAAAATCATATCTTGAAAACTACTCGGTGTATGTTTTTGAAAACTTGGATTACAACTAATAAAGAGATGCTCTATACGATGGTAATGATGAAAAAAAAATACTTGTAGCATTTTTCTTAGATTATTTACTTCGAACTTCTTCGAACACTGTCCGAAGAAAAGTATGCCAATATTCAATTTCAAATTTTATATCATTCTAAAGGGCAAGGCCATCCCTTTAGAATGGTTTTTATTTGAAGAAAATCGGCCTAATAGTTATCGAGTAATGATTTTTTAAAGTTTAAGTATTTTAAATTAAAATATTTTGTTCCAAGTGTGTGGACTTTAAATTTTTTTTTAGTGCATTTGATTTGTCTCACTGAGACAAACAAAATGATATACAATTTGTAAAGTTGTCACGACATGACTTTTTTTTGTCGCCTTGTGTAAGCATAATAAGAGAGCAGGACTCAAATTCAAACTAAATCTTCCCGAGAGCAGTTCTCTTACCTTTTAAGTTTTTTTCTAATCTCTCTCAAAGACATTATAAAATTGAACTGTAAATTCCACCAGTACCAGTTGCACAATTGTTGAAATTTCTTTGAGGCTCAAGCTTTAGAAGGAAACGGATGAAGCAGTCTGCGCTTCGCTCTGAACGGCTCATGTATTTGAATTATGCACATTGGAGCGGCACGAATGACATTAAATATGCAAACTTGATTTACACAACCACAGTACACAAGAGTAATTTACGATACGCTGTTGCAATACAACAAGAAATAATGAAAGACTCACCTGTCAATAATTGAAGGTGTAATGAATTAAGTGGCTATTGTTAGTTTCTTCGAACTAAACAAATTTTAAAATGCTAATTTTATTTTGCAACTACATAATTTGACTTTAAAAAAGTGTAATAAAGTTCTGAAATTAAAATATGTCATTGGTAAAATTATTATCCCGGCGCATCCACCACTTTTGACTTTGTCACATTTTAAGTTTCAGTTTTTGTCAACTGAAAAAAAATTATAATCGAAAAAAAGCATTTTTTTTGCTAACATGACAAGTGGGGGGGGGGGAACATTAGAAAATATAATTTCATTACATTTACGTCTTTAGCACAAATTGCCAAAGTGCTCTGTAAAAAGCTCTTCAAAGTATCAAGCTATTGATCTTAATCATTGCTAAAATAATTAGTTAATTGATTAAAACGAATTAAACGACTTCATGCTCTGAAAGTTTCAATTCCAAAGCCGTAGATTTTTACTTAATAGATATAATCTCTAATCTAATTCCCTCGCAGCGTTGTTACTGAATAATTACATTAAAATTTTAGAACAAATTGAACAATAAAATAATTGATGCAAAACCTGAAATGTAATTGTTGAAATTTCAGCTCGCAACTTAATATTAATTTTATGAAAAAAAAATCAACATATTAATAAAAACCCATTTATTTTTATTTTATTTATTAGTATATTTATTAAATAATCTTCAAAATAAAAACAAAAAGTTGCCGTAAATTCCTGTGAAAAAAATTTAAGTGTATTTTTCTTCTAAAATTACGTAAACATTAGAAAATGACTAAAAATTCTTTTTAATTTGTCGTGGAAAAGCGTCTATAAATCCCCGAAAAAAATAAAAAATTGTTAGAAATACAAAATAAACGTATATTTTTAAAAGTCTTTAAAAATATCAACAAATACCTAATTATTAAAAAAATTAATCTACTGAGAACTATTTTTAAATATGAGAATTCCTAAAATTACCAAGAAGAAAATCAAATTCAATTTTGTTTCAAAAATTTTGAAGCATGTAAGAAGATAATTACCAAAAACTTTTGAAATGAAAAATAAATGCAAGATTTACAAAAAGTATAGAAGCAAGCGATTTTTTAAATTATTTTACGTTCAGAAAATAATGGTACTTACTTTATTTATTTATTTTTTTTTAATAAATAGTGTAAGCTTTTTATTAGAAATA